TAGAGTAAGGGTATTGTTCCTTTTGAACAAAATTTCTTTTCCTAGATTGCCTTTAAAGTAATGTAGTACCCTGTAAGCAGCTTGAAGATGAGGTTCTCTTGGGTTATGCATGAATTGACTGATCGCGGTCACAGAGTATGCTATGTCTGGCCGAGTGTGAGCAAGGTATATGAGTCTACCAACCAACCTCTGGTACATTCTTTTATCGACAACTGGTTCTTCTTTAGCTTCTCCCAACTTATGGTTCGGATCCATTGGAGTAGAGACTGGCTTACACCCAATCTTCCATGTTTCTGCTAATAGATCAGTCACGTACTTTTGCTGAGATATGAAGATCCCTTGTGTGGAATATGCCACCTCAATACCGAGGAAGTACTTCAGTTTCCCTAGCTCCTTTATCTAAAGCTCTCTTACTAATCTTTGCTTCAGTTCATGCTTCTCTCTTTCATCATTTCCAGTCATTATGATGTCGTCTACATAGACTAGAAGAGCAGTCACTCCCCCAGCAGCCGAGTGCTTAATGAAGAGAGTGTGGTCACCTTGACTTTGTTCATAACCGAACTCCTTCATAACTCTTGTAAATCTCCCAAACCATGCTCTAGGAGATTGCTTTAACCCATAAAGGGCCTTTCTCAGCTTGCACACTTTGTTACTTGTGTCCCCCTTAAATCCCGGTGGTATATTCATGTAGATTTCTTCATCTAAGTCACCATGAAGAAATGCATTCTTGACATCATACTGTAGTAGCTGCCAATTGAAATGAGCCGCCAATGATAGCAAAATTCTCACAGTATTCATTTTTGCGACTGGAGCGAAAGTCTCATGATAATGCACTCCATAAGTTTGAGTGTATCCCTTGGCCACCAATCTTGCTTTATATCTCTCCAGAGATCCATCAGCCTTGTATTTCAGTGTGAAAATCCACTTGCAATTAACAACATTTTTCCCTCTTGGTTTATCAACAATCTCCCATGTTCTATTCTTTTCTAATGCACTCATCTCCTCTCTCATAGCCTCCCTTCATTCCCTTTTTGACAATGCCTCAAAAACAGTATTTGGGATAGGAATGGTGTTTAAACTCACAATGAACTTTTTGTGGGTTGATGACAGGCGCTTAAGGGGGACATAGTGAGATAGTGGATAGATTGGATGTTTAGTACACTCTCGAGGACCTTTTCTGACAGCAATAGGAAGGTCGAGGTCATCTGTTGGATCAGTGAATGTTTCAACCGGTTGTGTGTGTAAGGATGGATTAGATCTTACCGTGATCTCATTCCCAGAGCCTAAGTTGGATTCTTGGACTTGTGGCGGTTTTGGAAGAGCCTTTCTCCTTGAATACTGTTAGGATCTTGGTTGAGTTCCACATTGCTAAAGTATGGGCTTAGCATGTGGGTTTATAACCACTTGGGCACCCTCTCCCTACAAGCTAGCTTTTAGGGATTAGTTCTACCCAAGGGTTATAACAATTGGTATCAGAGCATGCTCCTCGTCAGGCCCACGTTGCGGAAGGGGCGACCTGGAAAGGCTAGAGTAGGCCGCCGTGGACGTCGGTGTCGGAAGCGTGGTGGTATGTTAGGATCCTGGTTGAGTCGCACATTGCTAAAGTATGGGCTTAACATATAGGTTTATAACCACTTGGGCACCCTCTCCCTACAAGCTAGCTTTTGGGGATGAGTTCTACCCAGGGGTTATAACAATTACACTTGAGAGAACCTTGGAAAATTGTGAGTGACGCTGGCTAGGACAGGAGGTGACACGGGTTCAGTGGCAGAATGGGGTGACTCAGAAGTGGTTGGCTCAGAGGACTCTGGTTTAACAACACGAACTAGAACACGAGTAGGAACTTGAGGAAGATTAAGAGTGTTTAGGGGTTCAAATGACTCACAAGGACTATCTTCCATTATTGGAATCTCCCCCTGAAGAGAGGACTTGGAGAAGAAAGGTTTATTTTCTGTGAAGGTAACATCGGCAGAGATGTGGAATTTTCTGGATGAAGGGCTGTAACACTTGTTCCCCTTTTGAGTGGATGAGTAACCAAGGAAGACACATTTGGTGGCTCGGGGGTCTAGCCTGCCTCTATGTTGGCTGTGGACATGGACAAAGGCAGTGCATCCAAAGACCCGTGGTGTGAGACCATTTGAGGTTCTAAAGTGAGGATAGAAAGTATTGAGGATTTCTATGGGACTCTTGTTTTCTAACACACGTGAGGGAAGTCTATTAATCATGTATGTGGCTGTAAGACCTGCCTCTCCCCAATAGGACTTAGGAACATTCCCTTGAAAGAGTAAGGCTCGGGTGGTGGTTAATAAATGCTCATTTTTCCTCTCAGCTACCCCATTTTGTTGGGGTGTGTTAACACAGGATGAATCATGAATAATGCCTTGTGATTGAAAGTAGGGTGACAAAATTTGATTGAAGTAGTCTCTAGTATTGTCTGTCCTAAAGCGTTTTATTTTAACCCCAAACTGGTTTTGAACCAATGAGTGAAAATTAGGTATAACAATACTCACATCAGATTTTTGTTTTAGAAGGAAGAGCCATGTAACCCGAGTACAATCATCAATCAAAGATACAAACCAACGAGCCCCGGAAATATTAGGTATAGTAGAAGGACCCCATATGTCAATATGAATCAAATGAAGGGGATGAGAACTTCTTTTATTGCTAATAGGAAAAGATACGCGAGTATGTTTTGCCAGTTCACAAACATCACAATGAAACTCAGAAATATCTAATCCTTGGAATAAATGAGGAAACATGACTTTTAAAACCCTAAAAGATGGATGACCTAGGCGTAGGTGATATAGCCAAATGGCATCCTTATTTGAGGAACTGAGTAAAGAGAAAGACACATTGCTCCTAATTTTCTGAGATGATTCAAGATGATAAAGGCCACTCCTTTCCTTAGCAAGTCCAATCGTCCTCCCCGAGCCCTAATCCTGAAAAACACAATATGAAGGGAAAAAGGTAGCATAGCATTTAAGGTCATTGGTAAGTTTTTGAATGGACACAAGGCTGGCCGACAGTTTTGGTATATGGAGGGCATTTTTAAGGATAAGGGTAGGTGTAATATGGATATCTCCGGTCCCTGCAACAGTGGCTAAAGAACCATTGGCCACTATAATTTTTTTGTTACTCGGGCATGGGGTGTAGGTGTGGAAGAGTTGAGATGTGGGAGTCATATGGTCTGTGGCACTTGAGTCTATTATCCAAGAGTTAACATAGAATCTTTCTGAGGCATTCATGCAAAATGGAATGGAATGTTTACTTGAAAGAGCTAAGGAACAGGTCCCTAAAGGCTTATCAAGTGATCCCAACAAGCTCCTCAACTTCTCAATTTCTTCCTTGTTGAACCCCCCGGTTGTTGAATTGTCCTCAGTTTTGGGTTGCTCGGCTATGTGTGCTTGAGGCCTCTGCTGACCCCCACGGTTGCCCTCACGATTGCCCCACTCTCGGCTTGGTGGCTTACCATTCAGCTTCCAACACGTCTCCTTTGTGTGCCTTGATTTCTTGCAATAGGTGCACCAGAGATTGTCATTGTTCTCCTTCCACTGATTTTCTCTACCTGGGTGTTTAGGTGGATCACCCTTTCCTTTCTCCTGGTGAACTGTTTTTGCTACTAAGGCTGACCGGTCCATGGTTGGTTGTTCAAGCATAATACTCCTTCGGCTTTCTTCCGCTCGGATCAGTGAGATTGTTTCTTCTAGAGACAATGTGTTCCCCTTGCCAATGATTTGAACCCTCACTTGATCGAATTCTGGATTCAATCCAGCCAAGAAATCGTATATCCGATCTCTTTCAATGAAGTTCTTCAAAATGGTAGCATCCTCAGGGCACTTCATCTCTATCACTCGGTAATGGTCCAGTTCTTGCCACAGATTTTGCGACAAGTTTGCATATTCTGTGACAGATTTGTCTCCTTGTTTAGAGGCTCCAGTTTTGATCTTAATCTCATACACTTGCTCATCATCACGAGCCTTCGAATATGTGCGGTGAATATAATCCCAAATTTGCTTTGCATTAGTCAAGAACATACATGTGTCACTGATCGTTGGATCCATGGAGTCCCATAGCCAGGACATAATCATGGAGTCTTCCTCATCCCATGCTTCAAAGGCTGGATCCGTCGTTTCTAGCCCCTTTCCAAGTAGGTGATTAAGTCTCCCCTTGCCCTTTAGGTATGTGCGAACAATTTGGGTCCATTTGAGGTAGTTCTTCCCATTAAGCCTGTTAGAGGCTCGAATATTCTGCAAGTCTCCGGTTTTCTGAACAGAATTGACTTCTTCGGATGAGTTGCTAGAGATGGTGGTTTCTGAGGTTGACATGATGAAGAAGAATAATAAGGAATGGCAGCGATGAAGGCTAAATCGCAGCAATTAAGGCTGCCCTAACACGGATTATTGACGGGAAAATACGGAGGAATGGCAGCGATGAAGGCTGGAATACGCAGCAACGAGACACGCAGCAATGAAGGCTGCTCAAGAAGAGAAAGAAATCCCAGAAAAGAAAAAGCCATAGGGCTCTGATACCATGTCATAGAAAAGGACTCTGTTTTTCTGCTATTAATGAATAAACATATTACACGGTATTATATAGCTAATTACAGGAGAAAGAATAGGAAACCAAATCATTCCTAAATCAGGAAATCAGGAAACCAAATAATCCTGCCTAACCTGAATCCCTTAAATCAAGGGATTTCTAACTAATTCTCCTAATCTATTTACAACTCATTTACACATCAACAACATCAAGTAGTGTATTTCATTTGACAAAAATTGTTCGCTCAATTGAAACTAGTTCAGTCATCTGAAATCTAGAAATCAATAGATGGAATATTGAAATGCAAAATCCTGGATGGTGTTGTAAATTGATCAAGTAATTAAGGAATAAGAGATTGGAAGAAAGTATTCCCATCCTATTCAGGGACCTAAAATCTAAGAGTTGGCCAATCCGTAACTACTAGTTTAGTAAAGTAAGCATATCACATAGTGGACACTAACCTGCTTCCCTTGTTCAAGTAGCTCGATTGTTAATTGAGGAACCCTCATTTCAATTTTCTCACATGACTGGTACACTGTTTCTCTCTTATGGCTTTTAGCAATTTCACAAAACCGCAGAACTCTGGTAGGCCCATCTGCATATACTTCATACCCTACTTTTACCATCTCCATGCTATTAAGTTCAACATTTGACATCTGCATTTGTGATCTTTTATTTGAAAGAATATGATAAGCCAACCCCCTATGTTGCCCAAACTTGTAGAAAGGCTTCCATCCCCGCACCTTATCCAAGTTGATCTCACGGAGCGAATGACTATCTACAATGAAAGTCAAAATAGTAGTCAAGTACTTGTGAAAACAATGACCTTGAATTGAGGATCTATCAATCTGATAAGAACTAACAGATAATGTTATATTTGATGAATTTGTGCCAACATATCACATCCAGATGAAAATAGTAATTAAAAAAAAAAAAAACTCAGTCACAAAATTATGGGCGTGATTAGTAAAGAAAAGAAGGAAAGAAAAAGAAATTGCACAATCTTCATTCAATGTAAATCTTTACAAGTTCAGAAATGTATTTTTGTTGCCATATGGTATATGTTCTTATTACATGTATGACATCAAAGGCAGGTTATGTTTCACCACTATTTGCTATTCACCCCCCAAGTCATGGAAGAGATGGTGCGCTTTTGACTTGGTTTTTCACTTCGACTAAGTTGGTTAACCCTAAAGGTGACTTTAAACTTTGAAGTCTATAAAACCTGAGACCTCTTAATTTACCAAAGCAACATACCTAAGCCCAGAAAACAGACATGAGTGCAAAAACTGGATTAAGCATGATGAGATGATCCTATAACTGATGGAAAACAGTTACATTTATTATTATATTATGGTGTATGTATGTATTTCCTAATTTTGTACATTACATCTGCTAGATGTGCGTTAAAGAAAGCCATAAAAATAGAAGTCTGATAGTCCTAATAAAGGGCTAAGAAAACTAGAATTCACAAATTCATCTTGGTTATTAACCACAAAAAATGAAAGTAGGTGACAAAATATAGACCATGTTGAAAATATAGTAGTAACGAATGTGGTGTACAAATAAGTCAAGGACAGAGAGAAAGTAAGGGTTGCACGAATGTGTTAAGAACCAGAGCAATAACTGGAAAGAAAATGAATCTAGCCAAGATTTAGTGGAGAAAATGAACTGCGCTGGATTGTATTTAGACTGAAATTGATGAACAATTACAGATAGGGAGCAGATTCAAGAGATCTGCTTCTCTCCCTAGAGTAAAGCTCAAAATTACAATCAAAATCTAGCTACCTCTCTCAAGCCCCATTTCCTTTTATTCTACTCAAAACGCGACTAGCTTCTAGATCCAAAAAACTAACTCTCAATGTTGAATTCGGAAGTCAAAGTTAGGGAATTTAATTTAGGAAAGTATTTTAGGAATAAAAGGAGAGATCGGTTGTGATCCTCTCTCATGACTCTGTGTCCTAATTTTTAGGAGAGAATCAAGCTAGTTAGTTATTTTCTTATTAGTCGTTTGTGTATAGATATGCTAATGTAGTGTACCGGAATTTATTCAATAAAGAAGTTCAGAAATTCTTCATGGTATCAGAGCCAGTTTTCTGAACCCTAATCCCTTCTGGCCACCTCTCATCCCGGCCATCACTCATTCCAGCCATCTCTCATTCCGGCCATCTCTCGCCAAGTCTTTCTGGCCATCTCTTCTCTGTTCTCAGGCCGATTATCTCCGGTCTTCTTCTTCCCTATTTCCAGCAACCATATTCGGTCTTCTCCCTCATCTTCTTCTTCACAATATTTGGAACATGACAAAATACGGAATGGCATCATCACAAACATCCAGCATCACGGCACCAAAATTAGGGGGCAGTTCAAATATTCCAAACCTTGGTGGCAGTGATTCTTCTCCTATTCTCATCACAAGACACAAATTAAATGGCCATAATTATTTACAGTGGTCACAATCTGTGTTGCTGTTCATTTGTGGTAAGGGAAAGGATGAGTATCTCACGGGAGAAGCAGCCATGCCAGAGACTACAAATCCGGGTTTCAGGAAGTGGAAGATTGAAAATAGTATGATCATGTCATGGCTTATCAATTCCATGAACAATGACATAGGTGAAAATTTCTTACTCCAGTTCTGAAAATACTTCAAAACTGTTTCAGGTTGAATCAGCGCTTCATGACTTCCGCCAAGGAGAGCAACCTGTTACTCAGTATTACAACACACTCACACGGTATTGGCAGCAACTTGACTTATTCGAGACTCACTCATGGAAATGTCCGGACGATGCAGCAACGTAAAGGCAGGTTGTGGAACAAAAAAGGCTGTTCAAGTTTTTGTTAGGACTTAACAGGGAGTTGGATGATGTTCGAGGTAGAATCATGGGCACTAAACCACTGCCCAGTCTCAGGGAGGCCTTCTCAGAGGCTAGGCGTGAAGTAGAAAGAAAGTGATGATGGGATCTAAGGAACAACATGCCTCAACGTTGGATGCCTCTGCCCTTGCTGTTCGATCATTTAACAGTAATGGCGGAGATCGTCAAAAACGGGAAAGGCCTTGGTGTGATTACTGTAAGAAACTAGGCCATTACAAGGAGGCTTGCTAGAAGCTCCAAGGCAAACCAGTTGATTGGAAACCAAAGCCACGGTTTGATAGAGACAGCAAAGCACATGTGGCTTCCAACTCTGATAGTGCTCCTGTTCCCGAACCTAGCCCATTCAACAAAGAGCAGATGGATGTGCTGCAGAAACTGTTTAGTCAAGTTGGCAGTGGTAGCATTACCGGGACTAGTTTGGTTGCTCAAACAGATTCACATACAGCCTTCACTGCTAACCGAGGAGGAATGAGGCCGTGGATAGTAGACACTGGTGCTTCTGATCACATGACAGGAGATGCTGCCCTTCTCCAAAATTACAAGCCAAGTAGTGGTCACTCGTCCATCCATATTGCTGATGGTTCGAATTCAAAAATTGCTAGGACAGGTTCCACAAACTTACTAAAGAGTTGTATCTCGACTCTGTCCTCCATGTTCCAAACTTGGATTGTAATCTTTTGTCCATTAGCAAATTGGCTCGTGACCTTCAATGTGTTACTAAATTTTATCTAAACTTGTGTGTTTTTCAGGACTTGAAATCGGGGAAGATGATTGGCATTGCTGAACTGTGCTCCGGGCTCTATCTCCTCTCATGTGGCCGATCCTCAAACCAAGTTTCTCAATCAAGTTGTGTCCAGTCTCAGAGTCTGTTAGAGTCTTTCAACTCTGTGTCAAATTCCAATGTCAATAAAGATAGTGAAATTATATTGTTACACTATCGTCTTGGTCATCCTAGCTTTGTGTATCTTGCAAAATTGTTTCCCAAATTATTTATCAATAAAAGTCCAGCATCTTTTCATTGTGAAATTTGTCAGATTGCAAAGCATACTCGAACAGTATATCCTCAAATTCCATACAAACCTTCAACTGTTTTCTCTTTGATCCATAGTGATGTGTGGGGCCCCTCACGGATAAAAAATGTTTCTAGCACTCGATGGTTTGTGACATTCGTTGATGATCATACACGGGTAACTTGGGTTTTCCTTATGAAAGAGAAGTCAGAGGTCGGACAAATTTTTCAAACCTTCAATCTTATGGTTCAAAATCAATTCAACTCTAGAATTCAGGTACTCAAGTCAGACAATGCTAGGGAATACTTTACTAGTAGTCTCAGTACCTACCTTCAGAACCATGGGATTATCCACATAAGTTCTTGTGTTGACACCCCGCAACAAAATGGGGTGGCTGAACGCAAGAATAGACATCTCTTGGAGGTTGCCCGGTGTCTTATGTTTTCCTCTAATGTTCCGAACTATTTCTGGGGGGAAGCCATTCTCACAGCTACCTATTTGATTAACCGTATGCCATCCAGAGTCCTTAGCTTTCAATCTCCAGGTCAGCTTCTTCTGAAAAATTTCCCTCACACCCGTGCAGCTTCATCTGATTTACCACTCAAGGTATTTGGTTGCATGGCTTTCGTTCATGTGTATCCTCAACACCGTAGCAAATTTGATCCTAGAGCCAATAAGTGCCTTTTCCTAGGGTACTCTCCAACCCAAAAAAGGTACAAATGTTATTCTCCAACCAACAAAAGATTTTACACCACCATGGATGTCTCTTTCTTTGAACATGTGTTCTTCTATCCCAAATCTCATGTTCAGGGGGAGAGCATGAATGAACATCAAGTTTGGGAGTCCATTCTTGAGTCTGTACCCTTTGCTCACTCAGAGCCACCAAGTTCTTCTCAAATCGTGCCCACTGACTCGTCCACTCCCGTGCCGTCATCAGTCCAGCCCACAAATGTTTCTTCTCCCGTGCCTACTCAATCTGTAGCCCCACAACTTGCTAATGAGAATTTACAAGTCTACATCAGGAGGAGGAAAAGACAGGAGCTAAAGCACGGATCACAGCCAACATGTGGCCAATATATTGACTCAATTTCAAGTCCACCTGAAGAAAACATAGGTACGGATAGGGCTGGAGATGTGTCAATTCCCAGCATTGATGACTCTACCCTGCCGATTGCATTGAGGAAGGGTGTTAGGAGATGTACAGGTCATCCAATTGGGAATTATGTTACTTATGAAGGGCTATCACCATCTTACAAAGCATTTGCTACTTCTCTTGATGATATTCAGGTTCCCAGCACAATACAAGAGGCATTACAAATTTCAGAGTGGAAGAAGGCAGTACAAGATGAGATTGATGCACTTGAGAAGAATGGGACATGGACTATCACTGATTTGCCAGTTGGGAAAAGGCTTGTGGGGTGCAAGTGGATTTTCACTATAAAGTACAAAGCAGATGGATCAGTCGAGAGATTCAAGGCTCGGTTGGTAGCTAGAGGATTTACACAATCCTATGGGATAGACTATCAAGAGACTTTTGCTCCTGTTGCAAAACTTAACACTATCAGAATTCTTCTCTCATTGGCTGTCAACCAAGATTGGTGCTTGCAACAACTGGACATAAAAAATGCTTTTCTAAATGGTGACCTAGAAGAGGAAGTCTACATGGAAATCCCACCTGGTTTCGAAGGAAGTATGGCAAAGAATCAGGTTTGCAAACTCCAGAAGTCCTTGTACGGCCTTAAACAATCTCCCCGAGCCTGGTTTGACAGATTTACAAAGGCGGTTTTGAAGCTTGGCTATGTACAGGGTCAGGCTGATCATACTCTGTTTGTCAAGAAATCTCATGCCGGGAAAATTGCCATATTGATAGTCTATGTCGATGATATTATTCTATCTGGGAATGATGTGAAGGAATTACATAATTTGAAGAAGTATTTATCAGAAGAGTTTGAAGTTAAAGATCTTGGAAATCTGAAATATTTCCTTGGAATGGAAGTGGTTAGATCAAGGAAGGGCATTGTAGTTTCTCAAAAGAAATATATTCTAGACCTTCTTAAGGAGACCGGTATGCTTGGATGCAAACCAGTTGATACTCCTATGGACAGTCAGAAGAAACTTGGCACTGAGAAAGAAAGTACACCAGTAGACAGGGGGAGATATCAGCGACTTGTTGGGCACTTGATTTATCTCTCACACACTTGGCCAGATATTGGTTTTGCAGTGAGTGTTGTAAGTCAATTCACGCACAGCCCTACAGAAGAACACATGGAAGTAGTCTACAGGGTTCTTAGATACTTAAAAATGACACCAAGGAAAGGTCTACTCTTCAGAAAGATAGAGAATCGTGACACTGAAGTGTATTCAGATGCAGATTGGGCAGGAAACATCATTGATAGATGGTCAACTTCTGGATACTGTTCTTTTGTCTGGGGCAATCTTGTTACCTGGAGGAGCAAGAAGCAATCAGTCGTAGCCAGAAGTAGTGTAGAAGCTGAGTACAGAGCACTAGCACAGGGAATTTCCTTATTAGTCGTTTGTGTATATGTATGCTAATGTAGTGTACCGGAATTTATTCAATAAAGAAGTTCAGAAATTCTTCACTCAACAATCCCCATGCTAATCAATTTCCATTCCCAACTTGGCCACCATAACCAACTAACAGATTTCACGCTCAGCACAAGGGTAGAAATCCTTAATTACCCTTCCGCCCCTGCTTCTTTTTACGACGAGCATAGGTAAAACGAATCGGGAGTTTATCAAAATGAATAATGAGAAGAGAGACAGCACTAATATATAGGGCATGTCAAAACAATAATACTTCCTGGTCTGCCTTTGAAAAAAAAAAAAGAAAAAAAAAAGAAAAAGGAAAGCAGAGAAGGATCAAAGGTCTTGTAATACGTGATATAATACCTGTATAACAAAGAGGCCTTATGTTCTTAACATTCACGATTAATGGATTTTGAATTGAGAGTGAAAACATAGAAAAGGATACAGACAAAGAGATTTAGGACATATGCATTTTTGTGTCAATTACGATACATACCTGTTATACAGGCCAGAAAGTGAATGACAGGTATGGATCATAATTGACACAAAAAATGCATGTGACCTCACAAAAGGCACTGTGATAGATACACGCACACATTTCTCCAAAGAAAATCACTTGAAAGCCCGATCTCTACAATTTTATTGTAAATGTAAATTACTAAGCAGCAATTCATCTATACTGCGGAATATTACCATTAATTCGAACAACCAATTTATGTGGAAGTGTCAAATCATCCCATACATAATCAGCACTACTTTCAGATCCAAGAACCTCTGGCTCTTCTGACGAATCCTGTAAGATTCCCGAAAGAAAGTTGAAAAAGAGATCCACACGTTACTGTGAGTCACATCAATTATATCAGTATTTAGTGAATAATTAAAATGCAAAATAGTACAACCTTTTGGTAATAGGTTATAGATACATCATGCAAGCAGTTCTCTATCCGATATGGAAGATTGATATTTGGAGGTCTATGGTAGTGCAAAACAAGTGTAGAACCTTCTTCTACAATGTGGACTGCAGCGAATTCCTCCGGTGATGCAACTTCACCTGATTGTTGCTTTCTAAATTTGATGAAAAAGCGTCCTAAAGAAGCAATGCATACTGGCCCTGACCAACTTAATTCAGGCTCATTTGGTCGAAATTGGATATAAACTAATGCATCGTCATTAGCTTTTCCATGCTTTCTTATTAAAGTCTCAAAGAAACTGAATTCTCTTCTCTTGCTCATCGCATTCCACAGCTGTAGTGTTATCTTTTGTTTACTGTTTACAATAATATTCCCTGCTGTGTCATCCTTTTTCAAATAGAAAGGCAGAATCAAGGTCAGAACAGAATGAAAGAAAGGGGAAAAGATAAAAAGAAAGTTATTTTTTTTTTAAATGCAACAATAACCTGTAAATAATATTGGCGAATGCTAATAGTTCCCTCTGATTCATTAGCTACAACATATCGCGGAACCATAGTTACTAATTGTGATGGCACAACTATTGTACTCAATGGTGGGCCCATAGAAACCCCAAGCTTTGTAATAGATTTTACTCCAATGCTTTCCTCTATTTCCAAGCTTAACTCTGTAAGGCCTGACAAGGCATCCAAGTCAATCGACGCCTCCGATGCACTATCTTCCAGCAGTTTGAGGCACACCTTGTTGGATCTGGAAACATAAAGCAGATACGATGCCTATGAGGATATGACATGATGGGAAAATCTAAGTTACGCAAATTTAAAAAACACAGAAATATGATGAAGTTCAAACAATAAGTATGACCACTGCAACCTCTATAATTCATGAAAATGTATGTGAAACATAAGAAATATGGACTTCAAAAATGATTATAGCTAATGCCAATCATTTATCTTACTTCAAGAACCAAGATCTGGTTGACATTGGAGGCAGAAGTGCTCCTAACTCAGGAGGAATGCTGTAACCCAACTCCTCCAATTCATGCCTGCATGAATTGTTGGTACCAAAAGTCGAAAGATGAGAACATAGCCACGGTTTAAAAGGTGTAATATTTTTATCTTCTCTTTCTTTAAACAAAAAAAGGGTGTATTCTCAGATGTAGTGATTACCTAGTCAAGGGCTTCCTATTTGGGGCAAAGAAATAAAGGGAAAAATCTGTATCATTTTTCAAAGCATAGGATGTGAAAACAGTAGCCTGCAAATAAATATGCAGGTTAGGTCCGGTGCAATGTTAAAGTAACGCAATTAACAAAGTTGAAATAGTCAGAAAATACGTCTTAGAAAACATATCTTGCATAAAAACATAACTACTGGAAATTCATGATATTGATTATATTCTCTTGCTTTGCATTGTGTCAATCAAAGATATCATGGCACTTGAGGGAGTTGTTAATACCTCCAATATGCCTTTGAGCCCACGAGACAATCTCAAGGAAGCAAAATAATCTTTATTACCAAATTCCAAATCAATATCCAGATGGTGGACTTCACTTTTCTGCCTTTGTAACTTCTTCTCCCAATCACTGCTTTTCAGTGGTTTGCAGCTCGAATTATAAGGAGTTAATGTAACAGTAAAGTAGATAACGGAAGGATTGACATAAAAATCCACCGAGGAACCACATGATATTATTGCCTGATTCCCAGTGTTATCCCAGCCAACTTTGGAACACGCATCTGCCAACATAAAATAACAAATCTTAAAAAGATTATTAAAGAAGTTGTCTTATCTTGTCTAAGAATATCTTCTGCACTTACCCATCTCACTTAGAATTACATGTATCTCCGACTGTAATAAGTTGGACACCTTTACAGTCGGCAGAATAAATATTTCCTTCTGTTCTTGTAAGGTTACTGGCGAAGTGCTATACTCAAACCCCTCTTTGGAGTCATTAGGTTGTACAATAGGCACATCTCTGGCAATGCTTTGTATCAGAAAATGGATATCATCAATATGAGAACCTTCAGATTTGAAGCTACATTGGGCAGTGCTGAAGGAGCATTTCACTGATTCATTAAGCAAAGCCTTTCGAACTTTGTAGCCTAGTTTATCAAATATTCCAGAGAGTCTAACTGCCTTTCCACCTTTAAGATCATGGGACCATTCCGCTGAAAGTGCACTCTTCGAATTCATCAAGCCTTCTGTAGTGTCGGGTCTAAAAGATAATAAGAAGTTACCTGCACATCAGTTACAACCCATGTCATTTTTTTTTTCCAGTTATTATTGTGTACAAAGCAGACTGTCAGACAAGAGAAACAAGAGAAAAATGAAGGTTAAAATTGCATGATCATCATTTTTTCGACTAGTGAAAGTTGATGGACAAAAGAGTCAAGGAGGAGTCACTCAGACATGCATGGCACACACATTCAGCCCAAGACTGGAATCCGTATTTACTCATACCCATGCTTCTAAAGTAACTAAGTCACTCTAGGGTGCAAAGTTGATTGATACTCTTGGTTTTTCACTTAACTACTTTTTTACATACCTTAACTTGTTTGATAATATCTACAATTACGTTCCCTAAAATATATAGCCAAATCTCAATAGGTTTCATCTACTAAGAAACTTAGGTTAAAATGCTTACCAAGACTTAAAGATGTCAATGCCTTCTTCATTCCACCAGACAAATGTAAGGCGCCAAACATTGCCATTGAATCGTCAATTGTATCCCCTGGTTTTAGCACCAACGAAGCAAACTCATCTTCCTTCTGATGAGGTCGTCGAAATTGCAGTTCCATGGAGAATTTAGTTTCATTGTGTATTCTAATCAGAGGAGAAACGATAACTGATAACCCATCCTACAAGATACAAATAAGAAAGTATAAACGGATACAGGAAATTACGAAAATGACAGTATCTCTGAGAACTCTGAAATTTAGTACTCATTTTACAAATACCTCAGATTCTCTTGAAATGTCAACAACAACAAATGGCCCAGGATAAGTTCTTGAATCTGTGTAGGGATGAAAGATGGACATCCATATTCCAAGTATACGACCATCAGATTGTATACTGAAATCATATTATCATACTAAAAAAACTAACATAGAAACTAGCCAACTTCATTAAGGTGGAAGGATAAATCACTAATAGTAAAAGTTCAATTCTGCAAATCCATACTTCTAGGTTTCAGGTTTCAAATCTTATAGACTTATTCCTAGGATAATTTTAATTTTGACCATGTAGTTTATTATTGTAGCAAATTTACAAAGTCCCATAGCTCCTCTTAGTTGATTTAGCCACCTAAAATAAAACACACAGAGATCTTCGGAAGTGTCATCAATTTTAGGACAAGAGGCATCTTCTCACTGATAACCATTGTGCAAATCAATCTGACATCTCAGCAAGTTCCAATCTCGTACAGACAGCCAAGACTGGACCATTGATAAGCCCATCCTTTGCCCCATCAAAATACATTTCTTATCATGTTCAACTAATCAAATGAAGGAGAAAATTTATCTTATTTTGACTAAGCTGATTTCTCTGTAGGCACTTTCCATGTCTGTATAGCTGGCTGCGTTAAAGAAAAGCAATTTTTTCCAATATGAAGGAAAAATTTAGAAAATACCTTGAGATGACATGATACGTGCTCTCCAAGCAAGTTTTTGAGCTTGCAAGAGAGAGAGAGAAATTGGGAAAGTCGTAAAAGATCCTGGAACAGCAAGTTGAAATGAAAAAGATGCATTTTCTGCAGGTTGTTTTGCCAAGTCTGAGTACCTTTCAGAAATGAAACATTAAAGATCAATCAATTCATAAATCAACCAAGCATCCAGTCTATTTGATAATTTGCAAAAGAAAAGAATGTGTTCTAGAAGCTAAAAAAGGTTGTCCTGAGCAATTTCAATTTGTTCATGCCATAATATTTGAACATTTGAACCTACCTAAAAACTATGGAAGTAGACTGCTTTCTCGCTATTTTCATACTTTGCTTATTGAAGAAGTGACAAAGAAGGTTTACGCCTGTTTGGTTCTCCACCTGCATTATAAAAATTCATGTAACTGTACAAGATTAAAAAAAAAAAAAAGTTCAGCGTTATTTGAGGAAATTTTCTGATTTCTGTAAAGCAAGAAATACAGGCAACGGAACTAAAAAGTTCCATACATTAAATTATCTGAATGTGGATATTGGATAAAAATTGAACATATCAATATCCAAATTTCATTGATCTGTACAGCTGATCATGGTCAGCAGTAGTTCACAAATTTGTGAAAATATCAAATTAACATGATCTCGTTGCTACTATATGAAAGACAAAAAGAAGACCACATCTGATGCCCATGAAATCTTTATCATACCACTTCAAATTCAAAATTTTTGTCATCTAGTTCCTTTTACGCCCAAAAATTTATCAAAACTGTCCATTTATTTTTCTTTTCTTTATTTAAGATTTCAGACAACAGATAATAAAAACAAGGGGGAAAAGACTCTAAGGCGGATAAATCACGATAAAGTGACAGGACACCTGCACAAGAAGATGGAAACAATGCAAGAATAGATCGATATCATATATATGCATATTCAGATATGTAAGTTGTACATCCTCCTATATAAATGAACTCATTTGGTGTTTCATAAAAATCAATAATAGAATAGCAAACCTTGCAACGGTTGACCAGAATCCTGGAGCTCTTCAATGAATAAGGACCAGCTAAATTTAACTTCCCAATCACAAAAAGGAGTATGTCCAATGAAAGCTCAGAAAGGGACATGTTCAACTGTTAACATACCACGTAAAATAGTTAAAAAAGAAACTGGTGCATGTGGTAATCGGTCCCCAAATGGCCATCTGGTTTGAGAAACCATGGTCCTCACCTCTTTTGTTCTGCAATGGATATGAACAGGCACTCCATGAAAATTAGCTTCTGAACCCTGGATATGGAAGTTAGAACGGTAGAAAAGGAAGATTTCAACTGGATGGAGAAGTTCTTCCCTAAAAATTTGAAAACAGAGAAAATTTATTGGAAGTTGGTCAAATGGAAGATAGATTTCAAATGGAAAGGAAAGGCTATCGAATAGAAGTAGTTGTGAAATTATATGCACTGTAAATACTTGCCACAGGTTCCTTTGGGAGTCAAAGTAATATATCACTGCCGCTGATGAGCTTATGACCCTGGTCTTGGTTGAGAGAACTTGTATTATAAGTTGGGTATTATCGACAGAAACACGAAGGAGAGGGAACACATCACTTGTATCAGAGATTTCGTGGACAATGGTCAAAGAAATTTTGTCAAACATAATATCAATGCAGGGGAGCTTTCCGCATTGTACAGAAGTTCTACCTTCAACTAAAGATGTGTTATCTTGCTCACTAGTTCTAGAATCCTCTAAAGGATGGCTATCTGTGTTTCCAACATCACAAGCTATAAAAAGGTTATCGAACACTTTAAACTTAAATGGATTTCCAGGCTTCCTGACAAACTCTGGAATCCCATCAACAAAGGCGACAGCACAGTCATTCTTCTTGTTGACAAGGTAAAAGTTCTTTTTAACCAACTTATTGTAAGGTTCCCAGTCAATATCGCTGTCATAACTCTCAGTCTCACGAAAGACTATTCTCCAACTGGCCCACCCACCATCATCAGTGCTGGAGATGTCAACAAAACCTGATCCAGGACAATAGTTCAATCGTAATGGTTTGCCCAAATCATTCTTAGCATGCAGTGATATCAAGGAGAACCACAAAGTGGATGAAATCCATTTCTTCTGGTGATACTTGACCTATAAAAAGGCACATAACTAGGTTCATACAGACAATCTTCAATTTGGGTGTCATTTATCACAGAATATGCATTGTGAATGAATATAACCTTCAACATGTATATTAGGAATGTGAATAAATATAAGTCTGTACCCTGAAAAGAGCTCTTTCTCCCACCAGAGAATAATGAATTGTACCACCTAAGGTGTACTTATTTTCTTCACCATCAACTGCAAAGTACATATGTTGATGAACATCTTGAATAGCAACAACTGATCCTACACAAATCAGGGTAACTGTTAGCTTCAGCTCCCAGAATTTAAAAATTAGAAATCTAGAAAAGAAACATACCGTTAGGAACCATTTCTTGCACACTATTGTCAAATTCCTCCTGGCTACTGGGCCTCTGCTTTTTATTAAAGTCACTGGCAGTCGTCTTGCTTAGTACTCCAGAGAAGGATGAAGTAATAAATAAAATCATCTGAGGCATGAACACATGTTAGACCAAAAACATGCGCCGTGAAGTTGTAAGCAAGAATCTAGGTAATTGACATGCTGTAATGACACTAAAACATTAGCAGTTTGAACAAATTGTATTGACTCATTTTAACATTAATAGCTCACCTCCATTGCAGACACAGAGATGATGACATCAGAACCTGATATAGAGCCACTGCCAACCCAAGCCAGATCATTCACATGCTTTTGAACCAATAAGAAAGCACCTAAATGTTTCAAGATATGTTTCTGATAACTTATATTGAAGCCCTCAGGTAAATGATTCTTAGTACAAAGCTCTTCTTCTGACTCATAATCCCGTGAGCAACTTGGATCATTAAGTGGATGGACCATATCCCTATGCTGAAGTTCTGAAGTACTATCTCCAGATTCAAAGCGACTTGAAATATTGTTTAATGTGACAGAATAAAAATGAGGAATTTGGACTTCCTTTCCACTGCTTTGTTGAAGGACTTGAGAAAGAATTGACAAGCGTTTAAGGTCAAACACAAATTTTTTTGTCATGTTTCCCGACTCAAGGTTTAGGTGGACATCAATTTCGAGCACAAGTTCCTGGATACCACCTGCAAAAGCAGCCGAATTACTCGAATATGTGTGGACCCAGTGCTGTGCATGCCTAATAACAATATAGACTGGAAGTACTTATATACCTTTTTCATCTTGAGTCACAAGAACAGTGGATAATTGAGAAACATTTATTGATAGTTCTTGCACATGTTGACCTTTGGCCTGTGAAGGTATATGAATAGTCTCTTGGATATAATCCTCAGTGTAATGATCATCCAATCTAGTTGTATCCATGTTATGTTCGACTTTTCCAATGACCTTATGAAATGGTTGGATACCAGATAAAATATTTGTGATAGAATGAAGATATGAAGTAAAACAAGAGATGAACGTTTCCAAAGCTTTTGTGTCCAGGAATAGAAGACCACCCTGCACAGTATCCACGTATGTCACTTCCATCAAACACCGAGGACTTGTATATGGATGAATAATATAATACGCATGCCCTTTCATTCACATTATTATATTTACAATAAAAAATGAAATAGATGAAAAGTTATCCTGTGACCAATTTACAAGCATCAACTTTGCATAAACATATCTAAAAAAAGTTAATAATTTATTTTTTTCTTTTTTTTCCTTTTTGGTTAATCCCTATGTAAAGTTTGATCTGATCCACGAAAGTATCACCTGAATCCCCCACGTGATTTTCTCAAATTCACCCCCAACAGAAAGTGATGACAGAAGCATATTCAAGTCATGCGCTCCAAGCAAAGCATTTTTTAGTGAGCAACTTCCCACATAAACCATACCCAATGCAATATTTGCAAATAGCCAATCACTTGGGTCTGCTGCTGGAGCATTTGAAGCAGATCTTAACTTCTGCACACGATCAAAACTTTGACTGCTCAACTTTTCTGAACCACTGATGGATGAGAAACTACTCAGGTATGAGGTATTACTCACAGAAGTAAGACCGTCAAATTTGTGGTGCATACTCCTAGAAGATGAGGAATTCTGAGAGAGAAACAATGACAAAGCAAGCATGCAATTTGAAAAAGATATTTCATATAAACAATTATGAGATTGCAGCAGTAGATCTCTAAGTACAGAGTGATCAGTACTTTTTCCTTTCTGATTCTGATATCCAAATACAACAGAGTGAATTTCCGCAAAATCAGTTACAATTTCCAATCTCTCTTCTTTACAAGATATATCAACATTTGTTTGCTGAATAGATATCAAAATTCCGCAATCAGGCAAATCAAGCTCAGCCAAAGTTTTTCTACTCGAAGCATCAATTTTTTTTATAGAACTCTCTGTGTCATTGTTTATCCTGGTCTTTTGAAGACATACATCCACTGTCTTAATCTTAAGGATCCCACTCATCAAAAATATAGTGCTGCTACAAATTGAGGACGCTTCTTTCCCAATTGCTTCCTCATTCTCTGATTCAATAATTGCAAATCTCTGCCCTCTAATTTCTGAAGCTCCACAACTCATGAAATCAGAGCTGCTGAACAAATATGATACTGCAGAATATAATTTTACAAGTACCTGCCAGAAAGAATGTTCTTCCGTCAAATGAGATGGACTAAAATTTATGTGGACAGAAATTTCAAAACTTTCCATGTACAGTTATAAACAACAAATAACAAAGAAAACATAATTTTGTGGAACTTCCACGGATCACTTAATATACATGATTCTTTTTTTTAATTAAAATACACATGCGCGCATGCATGCAACCACACACACGCATTACTGTATAAAATCCCATTTAACCATTAACGATGAGAAGAACAAGGCTACTTTAACTGTTTCTCTAACCACACGGCGATGGTAATGAAGCCAATTGACATGTTAGTTAATGTGAGAAATATCAAGTTAGTTAGGTGGTTAGCCATAGAATACGTTATTCTTGATTAGGTCCTTTAATTATGGAGTTTGTTATGTCAGTTCCTAGATTTATGCTATGTTAGTTATTTCTTCTATTCCTATGTACGACTATTTAAGTCTCAAGTGATTCAATAAAGAGTTGCCGAAGTTTATTCATAAAACTTTCATGGTATTAGAGCCTAGGCTCTATAGAAACACAAAAAAACTGTGATGGAGAAAACTGGTGCTGTAAAACCAACATGGTCGGAGGTCACAGCAAAAACTTCGGGGACAGTTTCTACGACTACGACGAGCAGCAGTGCTAACCAAATAGGAGCAGCCATGTCCTTGCAAATTTCCGTTCACAAATTAAACGGAAAAAACTATTTGGAATGGGCACAATCGGTCAAGCTCGTAGTTGATGGTCGAGGGAAATTGGGACATCTGACTGGAGAAGAAAAGAACCCAAGGGAGACAAATCCACACTTCAAGACATGGAGATCGGAGAACTCATTGGTGACTACATGGCTTCTCAACTCGATGGAACCAGCAATTGCCAAGCCTCATATGTTCCTACCGACAGCCAAGGAGGTGTGGGATTCAATCCGGGAGACATATTCTGATCTCAAAAATTCTTCTCAAATTTTCGAGATAAAAACAAAACTTTGGCAAGCAAAGCAGGGAGATCGAGATGTGACGGACTTCTACAACGAAATGGTGACATTATGGCAAGAACTAGATCAGTGTCACGATGATCAATGGGAAAATAGCCAGGACTGTGCGAGATTCAAGAAGAGAGAGGAAAATGATCGTGTTTACATGTTCCTTGCAGGTGTGAATAAGAATCTTGATGAAGTCAAGGGGAGAATTCTCGTGCGAAGGCCACTACCATCCATCCGAGAGGTTTTCTCAGAAGTCAGGATGGAAGAAAGTAGAAGGAAGATCATGCTTGGCAATTCTGGACTACAAGACAAATCTGAACAAGGATCTGCACTGGCTGCACGATCAACAGAAGGAGACCAAGACAAAAGGAAAAAACCTTGGTGTGATCACTGCAAAAAGTTCTGGCACACCCGTGAGACATGTTGGAAGATCCACGGTAAGCCACCAGGAGGAAAGAAGCGACCTAAAAGAGCTCTTCAGACCGTGACTGAAAATTCTCAAGAACCACAAGCCAACTCGGGATCATTTCCGTTCACGAAGGAACAATTAGAACATCTTGTTAAATTGTTTCAATCTCCACAATTTTCTGGTAGTCCGTCTTGCTCCTTTGCTCAAAATGGTAATAGTCTTGTCCTTTCTTTCTCATGTGTCAAATCCAATTGTTCTTGGATTATTGATTCTGGGGCAACTGGCCTCACGACAGTTTGTTCAAGTATTTTTTCATCCTACAAACTATGTGCGGGAAATAGGGAAGTAAAAATTGCAGATGGCTCGTTTTCAGCCATAGTTGGAATAGGAACTGTCAAAATTTCACCATCGTCTATTCTTTCCAACGTGCTGCATGTTCCTAATCTAACCTGCAATCTCGTGTCCATTAGCAAATTAACTCATGACTTAAAATGTCATGTTAATTTTTTCCCGTCTCATTGTGAATTTCAAGAAATGGTCTTGGGGAAGACGATTGGCAATGCTAGAGAATGTGGAGGTCTCTATCTTCTAGACGAAAGATCTCGATCGAATAAAACAGTCCAAGGAACTTGTTTGAAGACTATTTCCGTTCCTAGTGACAATGAGATATATTTGTGGCACTTTAGATTAGGCCATCCTAATTTCTATTATTTGCAACATTTATTTCCGAATCTATTCAAGAATAAGAGTCCTTCTGATTTTCAATGTGAAATGTGTGCATTGGCAAACATCATAAAGCATCCTATTCTCCACGATTATACAAGCCTTCAAAACCATTTTCATTAATACATAGTGATATATGGAGTCCATCTCGGGTTTCAACATGTTTTGAAAAAAGGTGGTTTGTTACTCTAATTGATGATCATACAAGACTGAGTTGGGTTTATTTACTAAAGGAAAAATCTGAGGTAGAATCAATTTTCAAAAATTTTTATCATATGGTTCAAACTAACATCCAAGTGTTTAGAAGTGATAATGGCAGAGAATATTTTAAAAATGTTTTGGGACAATTTTTTTTAGAAAAAGGAATTGTTCAACAGAGTTCGTGCAACAATACTCCACAACAGAATGGAGTTGCTGAAAGAAAAAATAGACATATTTTGGAGGTTGCACGGGCCTTGTTATTTACAAATAATGTTCCAAAATATCTTTGGGGTGAAGCGGTTTTAACATCAATTTATCTGATTAATCGACTGCCATCAAAAGTTTTAAAGTTTCAAACTCCACTCAGCCGCCCTCTTGAAAAAACGTTCCCAACATCACATATATTCTCTTCACTACCTTTACGTGTATTTGGTTGTACTGTGTTTATTCACAATCAAGATAAAACCCAAGGAAAACTTGATCCTCGAGCAACAAAATGCGTGTTTGTTGGTTTTGTAGCAAATCAAAAGGGCTTTAAATGTTTTGACCCTATTTCGAAAAAAATATACATCACTATGGATGTTTTGTTCTTTGAAAACAAACCATATTTTGCAACTCATCTTCAGGGGGAGAATATGCATGAAAATTCGACTTTTAAAAGTTTTAACCACTCGAATTCATCAGCCCTGGATTTTCACAGGTTTGAACAATTTCCTGATTCTCAAAAACAAATTTTTGAAATTCAAAACCTCAATTCGGATTCAAGTCCCAAGATTTTTCCAAATTCAGATCTAGAACTAATCGGGGATCTTGAAGACAATTCAAAAAAATTAGATTCTGTGGACTTGAATTCGAACATGGAAGAAGAACCTGTTGAAACCGAAACAGAAAAAAACAAGGAATCCGAAATTCAAAATAGTGTGTTTGAAAAACAAAAGGATTTTTCGATTGAAACTCAAAATTTAGAAAAAGGTGTTGCACCCATAGTATCTCGACAGTTAACTACCAACGGAAATAGAAGTCAAACAGGGAAAGTATTTGGACAGTTTTATGAGAGAAAGTTCCCTCATCGGAAGACAGGTACTAACGCTTCTCAGCCTTGTCAAGAGTCTAACTCAGAACCAAAAATTCCTAAAATCGAGTTCTCTATTCAAAAATCAGAAAAAGAGTCGTCTGGTGAGTTAGATATTCCAACAGCCATTTGAAAAGAAAAAAGTTCATGCACCAAATATCCCATGTCTAATTTCGTGTCTTACAAAAGGCTTTCCCCTTGTTTTTCTACTTTCACCACTAATGTTTCATCTGTGGAGATTCCTAACAATATATAGGATGCTTTAAAAAGTCCAGAGTGGAAGAAGGCGGTTCTTGAGGAGATAAGTGCTCTTGAGAAAAATCAGACCTGGAGAATAGAGGAGTTGCCAAAAGGAAAATCAACAGTTGGGTGTGTTAAAGTATAAAACTATTATTGGCCCACCTCCTAATAGCTTAAGCTTTTGGGATGAATTGGCAAACTAACATGGTATCAGAGCGGAAGGTCATGAGTTCAAACCCCCGTAATTGAACTCTTTATCCCCATTTAAAATTGTCATGTGTTGGGTCTTTAATATATATCGGGCTTAAATATTCACGTGTTGGGCTTTCTAATTAATTTATCCACACGATTGCCCATTGTCCAGCCCACACGTGAGGGAGAGTGTTAAGTATAAAACTATTGTTGGCTCACCTCCTAATAGCTTAAGCTTTTGGGATGAATTGGTAAACTAACAAGCTGCAAATGGGTTTTCACCACAAAATACCGAGCTGATGGAACACTTGAAAGATACAAAGCCAGACTAGTCGCCAAAGGATTCACGCAAACATATGGCGTGAATTACATGGAGACCTTTGCACCCGTGGCTAAACTTAACACTGTTCGTATTTTGTTGTCTATTGCAGTGAACCTAGATTTGCCATTACAGCAATTAGACGTGAAGAATGCCTTCCTTAACGGAGATATAGAAGAGGAAGTCTTCATGGAACCACCTCCCGGATTTGAAGACAAGTTTGGGCCAAAAGTGTGCAGGCTAAAAAAATCGTTGTACGGACTCAAGCAATCTCCCAGAGCATGGTTTGACAGGTTTACACGGTCTGTAAAAGGTCAAGGGTATGTTCAAGCTCAGTCCGATCACACTATGTTTTACAGGTTCTCTAAGACAGGGAAGGTAGCGGTGCTGATTGTGTATGTAGATGATATCATTCTCACCGGAGATGATTTAGTGGAGATGGAAAGACTTAAAAGGGGACTTTCCAAGGAGTTTGAAATCAAGGACCTTGGAGAACTGAAATACTTCCTAGGTATGGAGATTGCACGATCCAGAAAGGGCATCATTGTTTCACAATGAAAATACATCCTAGACCTTCTAAAGGAGACAGGCATGAGCGGCTGTAGACCAACAGACACACCAATAGACCCACATAAAAAACTAGGAGAAGCCAAACAAGGGGTACCGGTAAACACTCCCGAATATCAAAGATTGGTAGGAGTTAATTTATTTGTCACACACTTGTCCAGATATTGCGTTTGCAGTAAGTATGATCAATTTATGCATTCACCATGTGAAGAACATCTAGAGGCAGCTTATAGGGTATTGAGGTACTTAAAGAGTTGTCCAAGAAAGGGATTGTTTTTTAAGAAAGGGGAAGACAGGAGAGTTGAAGTTTTTTCAGATGCGGATTGAGCTGGCTCAGTTATAGACAGGAAATCAACTTTGGGATACTGCACTTTTGTGTGGGGCAATCTTGTTACTTGGAGAAGTAAAAAGCAAAACGTAGTTGCAAGGAGCAGTGCTGAAGCAGAATTCAGATCGATGGCCAATGGTGTGTGTGAAATATTATGGATTCAATGTGCACTTCAGGAGTTAAAACAACAGGTCCTACTACCAATACGATTGTATTGTGATAATAAGGCAACCATTAGCATAGCCCACAATCCAGTCCAACATGACAGAACAAAGCATGTTGAGGTGGATAGGCATTTCATCAAAGAAAAGCTAGAGGCAGGAATAATTTGTACCCCGTTTGTGCCAACAACAGAGCAACTTGCAGACATCCTAACTAAGGGATTGTTTAGACCAACGTTTGACTCATTTGTAAACAAGTTGGGCATGATTGACATCTATGCACCAACTTGAGGGGGAGTGTGAGAAATATCAAGTTAGTTAGGTGGTTAGCCATAGAATACGTTATTCTTGATTAGGTCCTTTAATTATGGAGTTTGTTATGTCAGTTTCTAGATTTATGCTATGTTAGTTATTTCTTCTATTCCTATGTACGACTATTTAAGTCTCAAGTGATTCAATAAAGAGTTACCGAAGTTTATTCATAAAACTTTCAGTTAAAAACAAAAATCAGCTCAAAGATAAGATTTTCCTGATTATATAACGTAAGAACAAACTCCCATCAACTCATAGCTGTTACATCTTTACTCACAGCCTCGACCACTATTCTTTTTAGCTGCTTCCCACTTTTAGATTCACCTGCTATATCTCTATTATGACTAAACATGGAAGACAGACATAATCATGTTGCAACCCACCCCTCAACACACACACAGAGAAATACTCAACAAAAATAATTAAAAAAGTAATTAAAATAACCAACATTGACCAGGCTCTAGGGAAAATCACCTGAGAGAAAACGTAAAACTCATCCATATATGATAACACAGTCAATCCAGTAGCAGTAATGCACAAAGCTGCTGAGCAAGCAATAACATTTGTGCTAAATGAGTCAAAATATTCCCTGAAAAATAAAAATAAATCTTCGACTTTCAGAGCAAGATAGATAATTTTGCCATAAAAGCATGTTAAATTCTCTTTGGAGAGTAGAGGTGTAGTGGGGAGGGGGCGCTTTCTTTCTCTTCTCTAGAAAGGGAAGTTTTTACTTCAACAGTTCTACTCTGACAACTATTCTCCACTCTTTCGCGTTTCAAATCCTAAATTTCACAAGCATTTTTAAGAGTTGAAAAAAAACGAAAGATGTATTAAATTGATGAAGATTCTTCTCAATAAGGAATCTTAGACTATTAATTCTATTTCACGTAAAGTAGGCAGAACATCCTAGATTAAACAAGGAGGAAACAGTAGCACCTGGATGAAGCACAAGTAAATCTGGGCAGGAAAAACGAACAAGAAAAGAAGCAAAGTTACAATAAATATTATAAACTGTTTGGAAAGGAAAAGGGAAAGAAAAGAAAAAAGAATAAAAGAAGATGAGTCAATATGGAAGAAACATACAAACTTGTAGATGTGATACTCCAATTAAAATTAACCCAGTACCACCGTTATGCATAACACAACAATCAAGAGCAACAGAATACATTACTGTTTTCCCTGAGTTGATTAGAGCAGACATCAAAAACGTAGCTCTCAATGAAATAGGAAAAGAACAACCAAGAAATTACTATATTAAGATTAATAGGAGAAAGTGCTGTGACAATTAACTTTACCTCGTGGATGAAAGCTGGACGGTCATTGGCTGCAAAACTAATAGTTGACTTCTCTGTTTCTCTGTTGGGTCCCCCAAGTAAGCAGTAAAACCATTGAGTTGTAAGTAAGTGCCAAGTAAAATCCACCTCTCAGATATATAATTTGCATTATCTGATTTAGGAATATCAATAATCTGAGGCTGCTCCAATCTAATGCATTCTGGTTCAGCGTCGTCACTACTGTGGTGCTCCACATATGATGCGTAATCAGATGTTGAAGTTGGCCAAATTGCAACTTCAATGTCGTGGATGTCAAATGCAAGGGGAAAACAACCATGACTAGTCATACGACTTTTGTCCTTACTACCTCCACTACATTCCTTTTCCAAGGACAATCTGATGCAAGGACCAGTAATGAATACTCCGAACTGAATGTGTTTTTCTGGAAGCATCTTAAGCAATGTTAGCCTCAAACTGTTAGCATAACACTTGTATCTACTATCCCAACTGGTTTCTGGTGGATTTTCAGCGGTTCCTGGACAATGAGAAAGAACCTTTGATCTCTCAATGTCCCTAGTTCTGCAAAGAACATTTTGTAACTGCCTAATAAGCAGAGAGATTGATATAATTGATGAACATCCCAGACCCAAATGTAACTTTCCTAGAGTGAAAAAGCATTTCCAAAACCCAGAATATGAGTTCTTGAGACCTGGATACGTCAACAAGCTTGTCATTTCCAAGAGAAGAAATGGGTTTTCAGAATATTGGATGTCACTTTTTTCAAATTGCACACAACCTTTTGCCCAATTCGACCACATTTCTCCAAGACAATTTTCCAGGAATGAGTCACAATCACCTTGAGCATTGTCAGCAATACTTTTTTTACTAGTTTCTGAAAGGGGAAATGTTTGTGCGGGCTCAAACCATAAAATAGATTCCAAGTGATTATTACTCTCCTCCCACTGTCCTTTTGCATGACTAGGAAAAATTTTTGAATCGTCTTGCCTTAGAGGAGTCTCCATGAGAGATGAGGATTTAACCTTAAATTGTCCACAGGATACAACCAAAGACTGTTCACATATGTCTTCCCTGTAATTTAATAACAATGCATTGATCGATAGAGAAAATGAAATGAAATCTGAGAAGGGGATTCCAATAGATGATTCTAGTTTTTCGATTTCAGAAAGTTGAATTTCATCCATATGTGAAATATTTACTAGAATTCTTCCAGCATTCAAACTGAAGCCAAAGTGCTGAAAGGGATCATCAGATACAACTTCTAGGTACTCCCCGGTCGGCGCTTTGGCTTTCCTCCAAAAAAATAACAAGCGCACAATAAAATGGAATAAATTGAGGATGAGTTTCCAGATAACACCAAGTGGAGGAAAGATCTTCCAAAAGAACTTGACGTGAGTATTAACGTACGATTCTTTGGAAAAAACAGATTGTACATTTAGTGCTGCTCTATAACGTGCTATTCGTCGTGCCTGTGCAATAGACTCAACAGGAAGCTCTTTCTCAATATCAGAGATCACCTTCCACTGCTTTTTGACCGAGCTCAGAAACATATTGTTCTGAACCATCTTAGTAGTGGATCTTTTTAAGAGATCATCAGCCGAATACCCAACTAGTTGCAGGATATATTCATATGCATTGGCATAACGCAGCCATAACCCAACAATAACAACTAAATTATGGAACTTCAATCTAGGAGCTGATATCACTTGGCCAACTCCGCTGGCGGCTAGCCTCCATAGTTGTCGACCATTTCTAGCACACTGAGATTCTTTGGGTGATATTTCACCAAATGCTAAATACATCAAAAGATCAGCTGGAGAGAAAGAAATACTTAATTCTGGAACCCGAAGATCGAAGTGTATGAGCTGAAAATCATTCAGTTTGATGCAAGTGTACAAATTTGTCGATAGTAAGACGGGCTTGACCTGCTCTACCATTTTAAATCCAATCTCAAACCCGACGCCACTGATGATATAAGAGCTCTCTTTTACAGGTAGGAAAACTGCACTGACAAGGCCTCTTAAAAGACATCCAAAATTCAAATACTTTGCTTCTGCATTAAGCTCCTTTAGATGCAATATACATGCACATGAATCATTCAACATTGGCAACTTCACTTGCACATTTAGATTATGTATCTGCAGCTGACAGTGCTTGAGTATAAGATTCAGAAAAGCTGTCTTAAATTTATTTCTTGAAGGAGTAGTGGCCGAGATCCTCTCAAGAGCACTATGCAAAAGACTACCCTGAAATTTAATAAAATCCCTCAGTTATATCTATTTCACTTACTTGCAATAGAAGAAATCAAAATTTCGATCTTATGAGATGAGCTAAGTCACAAAAAGTTTAGCAAATTAAACCTATAAACCCAATTCCTCAAAGAGGCACATATAATCATCCTATCAATATAATAACATAAGCAAATGGATAGCTATCATAGGTCGTTAACTAAAACAAAAACTAGACTAGGACTAAGAGAAGCGCTATTAGCTTTTGCAATTGATCTACTTGTGCGAAACTTGTGTTGGTGGATTGTCATTTTTACCATTAATATCCCTATAAAAGGAAGTCTGCCAAAATCTTGTTGCCGTTAAAGCTTACAGAAATTCCAACGAGTTTTTCAATATCTCAAGTTGTCAACTAACATAAGCGACAAACAATGTACAAAAAACTCAAAGTTTCCTTCAACAAATTAAATTTGTGAAAAAATAAAATAAAATAAAATAAAAGCTACAGAAATACCTCAGGATCAATCTGAGAAAGCTTTTTTTTTACGCCTTCAGCAAATGCTTCTCTTCCTTTCCGTGTCTGCCTCAAACTACTTTCCTCCTTCGAATTCCTTCAAGAAAACACCAAGTTTCACCATAAAATTAGTGCAACGAAAGACAAATATACTCGCTCAATTGAACTCCAAATCAGACAAATTGGCGACTCACCTGACTGACAGTGTAACGTGGAAGCCATGAACTTCGAATGAAATTGCAGGGACGGACCAGTTTGAGAATCTCATGATCAATCGCTCGATAGTGACATCGCTGAAGCACAATCCGCCTTGATCGTCGACGAGCCCGTTGAGAATCGAAGTATCGAAGCGGAGGTTCGTCGCGATCGCCTCCGAATTGATAAGCCCCAATTTCAGCTCCAGGTCCGGCTCTGAGAGTAGCCATGGCCGCAGCAGCGACGCTAGCCTGCGTCGCGTTATGTTGTTCAGGAACATGGCGAGTAGGTTATTTTGATGCTTGTTGTATCAGCCGACGAAGCTCTGCCATTAAAAGAAACCGAAGCTGCTTTCTCAAGAAACAAACAGAAAATTTGTGCGCCTGTTTTGATTGGAAGAACTTAATGATGAATTGAATTCCCAGTACTGATCGGCGGGAAAGCGGATTAACATGAATGAACTATTATATATATTATTACACATAACGCTGAATCTGAAACAGCCAATAAATAAATAAACAAATCGATAATCTGATACAGACGATTAATAGTCTTTTCTTTTTTTCCCCTTCTTAGTTAACCTTTTCCTTTTGTATTTTCAATTTTGTATGTAGTTGTTTTTAATTTTTATGGGTAGTTTTGATTTTTTTTTTTTTTTTTTTTTTTTTTCACTGGGGGTAGTTTTGAATTGATTTGTATTTGATAATCTGTCATGAGTTACATCTTCTTGTTTAACTTCTTTTGCAATTTATGGTTGTGTTTAGGAACTGTTAAGTTAACTTTTGAATATAAAAAATATGCTTCAATTTCTTTTTTTTTTTTTGGACGTAAAAACAAAGCACATAGATATAAAAATGAAATTAAAAGAAAACATGTACATGACAAGAAAAAATGTTGGTTTATGGCTTTAATGTGTTTTAAATGCTTAAAATATTTTTCAAAAAATTATATAAAGGTGTTTTTATATTTCTTTTTTTCAAAATTTTTGTTAAATAATGAAATTAAATCATATTTCTCAAATTTGAAGGATACCTTTTTATTTAAAAAAAAAATGCCTTTGTAGTTCTAAAAATAAAAAGACAAAATAAGAAAAATTTAAAGTCCATGATTTTATCTCTTTTGGTAATTCTCTGAATGCAAGTATTATTTGTAGTACATAGTTTGTTCACCATTAAAAGGCACCAATATTAATATTCAATTTGTCAATTCAATTTTTATTATTAAAAATTATTATTTTAATCCCTAAACTATTTTTTTCCTGAGATGTTAAAATTTGTGGTTAAATTTGAACCTTTTGTCCTGATCTTTACTAAAAGATTAAGCTCATTTAAAAGGAAATGGAAATAATAACATATTACTGAGGAAAACAACAGGTTGAAAATTGAAAATATTACCTATGTTTTCTAAATTTATTTTTTGCTCAAAAAGTTCTTCTTTTTTTTTTCTTTATATATCGTATTACAACTTCTGTTTGTTTCTCTTGTTCACTTTCAATTGGGCAAGGTCAATTATTTGAAATATAGAAGAAAAATATATTTGTCTGGCCTGAATATTTAAGCAAAAGAAAAAGGTTAACTTTGAATTTGACTCTCATAGAGTAGTAGTTATATCGTTTTGTCCCCTGCAACTTAAAATAATAGGAAACTCTTCTTAAATCTGCAGCCAAAACTCGTTCACCTCATATCATTTTGTATTACGTTGGTGTGTCGTACCCGAAATCACCGACTTTAGGTTTTGGTAATCTATATGTTACATGTTGTTTTGCGGTGTTGTGGTAGATCTTGGTGTCTTTGGTCTTCTGATCTCGTTTGATCGGAGTTACCCGCCAACTTTAGTGGTGTGTTTGAAAGAGTTATATGTTTGCTCGAATTGTTGTGTGCCTCTTCAATTTTCGCTTGTCGAAACTCGGTACACATATTATCCCCTTGAGCTTTTCAATCAAATTTACCAGTGGTTCCGGTCTATAGGTAGGGTTGAGTCCCTAATTGCGTTGAGGTCTTTCGTATCTAAATTAGTGTTTGTAATTCTCTTATTTAAAATGTATTTTCCTTTTTTAGAGAAAAAAAAATATAAGTTATGAATTAAGACAATTCCTATTCTAATATGGGGGACAAAGTTGAAACTAACAAAACAATGACGTTTAGTGTTTGTCTATCATTACAAAATTTTATTATCATTTTTCAATTTCCGTGTCGCTGATCAGGATAATGTCGTTTTAAGTGACGTCGTTTCATATTGCAAAGTTATTTTGTTGTTCTCACTTTTTTTTTTTTGGTTTAAGCCTTTAAGGTCGTTGGTTTTCAAACTGATGTTAAAATTTTAATTTGGGATAATATTAGGGCCAGTAATATGAGTCACGACATGACAACACGATTTAAAAACGACGCGAATTTCACGGGTTAGGGTTGAGAAAAAAGATGTTCGGGTCAGAATTGGGTTAACCTGAAATTGACACGAAAAATACAAATCAATCTCAGGTTGGACCCGCCTAACCGAACACGACACGAAACTCATAAAAAACTAAAAAATACATATATTTTTTATTACATATATTTTTATTTTATTATGAACTTGTGATATCATGATAGTTATACTCAAAATCTTATACTATTATTTGCTTAATTGCAATTGATGTTATTATATTTTAGTGTGTTATGAATTCTAATTTATTTCTAATATGTAAAAAAACTAAATAAAAGTATACAATTTTCGTGTCAATTTCGAGCTCATGGGTCAATTTCGTGTTACGAGTCATTTTCGTGTCGTGTTGTGTCAACCCGTAAAGTGTTCGTGTTGCGGTTTTTAAAAACTTCGTGTCACAGGTCGTGTTTGGGTTGATTGTAAATTTATAAAAAAAATGATCAAAACACGACACGTGATACGAATTGTCATCTCTAGATAATATCCAAAACTTTCCTTGTGCTTCCTTGTGCTTTGCTAAATATCATTTTTATCCTTCTTGTTATGCAAATATTTAAAACATCCACATGTTTATAAAGTCAGACTCAAAATACCCCTTAAAACAATTAAATTTTTTGAATACCTAAATTACCCTTCTCAACCTTTATTAAATACAATTTAAAAATTATTAACTAAAATATTAAATAAAATCAATCTTAATCAAAGAATGAAAAGCTCTCAAAATAATTGAAGTACTTATTTGATTAATATATATTTAAACATTTTTATTTAACTTTCTTGTTACATCATATCAAAAATAATATTTAACAGATTGGGAAGGAGAATTTGGTATTTTAAAAAATTTAATTGCTTTAAGAGTATTTTGAGTATGATTTTATAAACACGTGAGGTGTTTTGGATATTGACATAACAAAAGAAGCAAAAACAGTATTTGGACAAAATGTCAAGAGGTGTTTTACGTATTTTTCCTTTTATAATTTTGTAAACGTGGTTTGTTGTAATTTTAAGGTAAATGTCTTCTATGGTTCAACTTGTAGCTGTCGATTTTCTTGTCGTTGTGCAGCTCATTGTTGTTATCCACTTACCAGCTTATAGTAATTTTAAACTACATGATGAAAAAGGAAAAAAAAAAAAAAAAAACTAGATAATAGATATTTATCTTACTGTTAATCCATAAATATAGATATATGTTTGTAGGATACACAAATATATTGAATTATTCTTGTATAAAATAATTAATACATGTAAATATATTGAATTATTCTTGTATGAATTAACTAATACGTGTAAATACACCTGCTTTAGTGGTGTGTTTGAAAGAGTTATTTGTGTGTCCTCTTCGGTTGGTTTTCTGATGTTTGGAACTCAGTACAAGTATCACTTTTTTAGAGAGTTGTAGTCGAACTTACCGGTGGTCGCTGAGGGAGAGGCTATGCCCATGCCCTCCTGGATTTTTAAAATTTTTTTTTTTATTGCATGCAGTTTTCCAAACAATTTTATATATGCCCACTCTAAATTTTTGAAATTTAATTTTATTGCATGCAGTTTTTCAAAATTTATTATATATGCCCCCCTCATAACAAGATCTTACACATACCTCCTCATTAACAAACTTTTTCTCTAATTTATTTCTATTTATTTTTTAAAAATATGTTATTACTAAAATATTTTTCTTCTTTCTAATTTATTTGCCCATGTTGAAGTATTTTTTTTCTTTTTCAAATGTGTCCCTACTTAAACTTTTTTTCCTATACATTTTCGCAGTTCTTTGATGCAGTATCTTTATAAATATGGCATATTACAGTTTTTTTTTTCAAATGTTTATTTACTTAAACATGTTTCTTTCCCAAGTAATTTATTTTCAAGTTTGTCACGTCAAATTGATCTTTTAAGTGTTCTAGTTTTTTAATTAAATTATAGCATAAAGGATTAATAAATTAAGAAAAAAACTGAAGTTTTAAGAAAATTCTACTATGATCCCATAGTAAAAAATTTAAAAACTTGAATACTTATGTTCTTCCAATTATGTAATAGTATTAAGAATTGATAGTTTAATGGCTCGAAAGGCTTTCGAGTTTTTAACTTACCCCCCCCTCTCAAATAAAATCCTGGTCCCGCCACTGTAGGTGGTTTTGATATATAGTTGAGATTGAGTTGCTAAATGACCTCCCTCTCAAATAAAATCCTGGTACCGCCACTGTAGGTGGTTTTGATATATAGTTGAGATTGAGTTGCTAAATGTATTGAGGTCTTTCGCATTTAAATTGGTGTTGTTCTTCTCTAATTTAAAATGCAATTTTCATCTTAAAAAAAAAAAAACAATATTCCGCAATTAAAAGTTTTTTTACATGAAACTTCTTGAACATTTTTCTATTTATTATGGATATTCCACAAACATTGTGGATACTTGTGGATATCCGTGAATATTGTGAATATCTGTTGATATTTGTGTATATGATAATCTTAAAAAAAAATCTTCTTAATAATGTTGTCAATAATAAAATTTCAAAATATGGATAATGTGATGGCTTTTAATATAGGGTTTCAGATTTATTTTAACGCTAAAAGATAAAAAACTTTGAACCAAAATGACTTTATGATTTTGTTAAGAAACAATATACGTTTTTCAACAACATGCATGTCACAAACACTTATTACAATCCATAAGTAAAAAATTAATAATGATGAAAAACACTCAAATGATGAGAAAAACGACACTAAATAAGTGACATGTCGCTTTTCAAATAACCTCGTCGTTGTGTATACAGAAAAATAATGCTTAATCATATTTAACGATATGTCGTTGCTTATCCATGAACTACATCAGTTTCTTTGAGACTAGCATATCGCATAGCCAGCATAAACGACATGT